GTGATCGGGACATCCCTAGCTACGGTTAGCACAGATAGCATTAGCTAGAGCTATTGTTTGCTAAGACCATATGTACCATTGTTTACGTCCAGTTTTCTAGAGTTGTTGTTGCTATTTAGTATTGTGCTGCAGTAGTTTGTGGAATTAACAAGTCATGTATGCTGTTCTATATGCCATTGTGACTAGCGAGGAGGAGTCCCGAACAACGAGTGATGGCAGGGCTCCTGAGCACCGTTCAGCTCGAGCACCAGCAACGCAGACAGCCAGCATGTGGTTCTAGGTAGAGATGGGTGAGTCCTGATTCATCCGGATTATTAACCCGGATCCTAGTAATGAGCTGGTCGTGACGAGTCTCGCCTCTCGATTAACCCGAGTCCTTTGAGTCCTACACCTGGTGACATACACATTAAAACTATAAATTGCGTCACTCGCTACTCTCCTTATAACATGTAAAATCACATTACAACATACCCCAGTCCATCTGCCTAGCCTTTAGCAAGTAGGATAGCTGCTGTTTGGCTCAGGGGAGTGGACGCGGATCAGTGAAACTTCCTGCAGACTCGTGCGGACTCAGAGCCGTAACCGTAGCAGATCCAGAGATCCAGAGATCCAGGCAGACTCATCATGCACGAGTTAACAGCAGACTCGGATTCGCAAATCCTGACTCACTGAATCATGGGAACTTCCTTCACTTCCTGCAGACTTGTGGGGACTCAGAGCCGTAACCGTATAGCAGATCCAGAGATCCAGACTTGTCATGCACAAGCATAGCCTCGGGAACTGGGAAGTCATTTTACTTAGGGGGTGCGGACAAAAGTGGGGAGAGATTTCAACAACAGTAACATGAAGTTTTTCAAATGTACACCATTCGCAGCCCCGCCTCCAGCATCCCTACTCCCCGCGGCTATTGTGCACGAGTCAACAGCAGACTCAGAGATTCGCAAATCCTGACTCACTGTGCAAAACATAGCAGACTCGTGCGGACTCAGAGCCGTACCCGTATAGCACCAGATCCAGAGATCCAGCAGACTCGTCATCATGCAAGAGTCAACAGCAGACTCAGATTTGCAAAATCACAAAATAACCCTTTTTTTTTGGTGATCAACATTTTTTATTACAGCAAAATACACTGTGTAGGGGAGGTTAATGTAACGTTAGTTTAATATGCTCGTGAAATGCAACAACTTTTCGGTTTCACCGGTAGGATTTCTACGCTCTTGGTGATGCTGACTCATATGACTCAAAGGACTCGTATGATCCGGATCTCTTCAATGACTGACTCAGAAGACTCAGAGTCCGTAAAAGGATCCGGATTTGACATCTCTAGTTCTAGGTAAGAAATAGGCATGGCAAAACGACTGGAATTGTGACTCTTTTTAAACTTTAGATCATCGTCAGTAAGTAAAATAAGCAATACCACTGTGTGGAAATGCTCTGTTACAAGTAAAGTAACGTACCAAAAGTAAAAGTAGTAAGAATCACTATTAATGTTGCAGCTAGTAAAATTGTGTGTGACATCCTAATATATTCTTGTATATTCTTCATTGTTAAGTATTGTGCCGCAGACACATGGACCTGCACTGCTTTCCACTTATTTTGGACTGTGCTTTGTTTTTGATTTTTGCACTTTAAACTGGTCTCATATTTATTCATACTTTTATTCATTTGTAATTATCCATTTACTTCATGACTGTATATTTGTACATACTCATACATATGTATACATATATTTATATGTATTATCAACAGGCTGGACATAATGTAATTCACTTTCACAATCATTGTAAACATCTAGGGCCAGAACTGTCTTTAGTTCATCCTTACTGTTGTTCTGTTTATACTTATATATGTTATTCTTTTATCCTTATGTGACTTGTACCTGTCCTGTGTTTTTCATTCTTATTGCTGTTGCTGCTGTAACACCTGCATTTCCCTACGGGGATTAAAAAAGGTTTATTTTATCTTATTGTCTTCCAGGCAAGAGGAAACGAGGAGAGGAGCACCTCACAGTCCTGAGGGAGATGCACACTGCACAGTGCAGATCTGGCCCAGCAAGAACGGTACCTGCAGCTGGCCTTAGTGGCCTTTTACACTTGCATTTATGTATAGTTTTGCTGTGTTTTCCACTTTTGTATTTATGTTTATAGTTTGCTTTGTTATTTGCACTTGTTTGATGATTAAACTGTTTTTGTTTGTAACAAGTACGTTTATCGTGATTTCCTCTGTGTTAATAGTAGATCTAAACAAACAAAACAGACCACAAACAACTTTCTTAATTTATTAGAAAGATTTTCTTTTCAAGATCTGTTATTTTCTCAAGTGTTCTTATTATGGGGCAGTACTTACAGGTGCTTGAAATTCAAATATTTACTAAATAGTCAATTCTGATAACATTTTTTTTTAAATCATTTGACAAACACATGTATATGTGAAAGAGTAAAATATATTTATTTATATTCAATACAATTTACAATTAGTACAATTAATGTGTTGCTATTAAATTAGCGCACCAGACCCTCTCGTATGTCACTGCCCTCCTCCTCTGCACATTGTGCCACTGCTACCCCAGGCTCTGCTGCTGCTGGTGCATCCAATTCATCATCATAGGCCTCTCCATGACATTTGTTGCACAGGTAGGTGTAGGTTTCCTCAGACGTCCTGAAGTTCTGCACCCACTGAGTGTGTGTGAAAGATGGAATAATCACACCCCACCACTCGGTAGCTCGGTTGAACGTCCAAACACATGGTCTGCAGCGGCGACTTTGCAAATGGTATAACTTCTGAAATACACATAAAAAAGCATACATATTTTAATACGTAAAAGTGGTAGCTAAAATTAATTAAATACTTGAAACACTGGTCGTATAGTGACCGTGACCCTAAACACATGGCTAGTTAGCGAACATTAGCTTACCTTAGCATTGTCGTTTTGTAGTGATCAGAGTCGTCTTGTCATCTGTGCTGCGTTGCTGGATTGCCAAAACTCTCATGTTTTTTTCTTCTGTATTTCGTCTTTCTATACTCAGCCTTTTCTGAAACAAAGTTTGACTCCTTGCTGTGATAAAAAGCTACATACCAAGAAGAACCAAGTACACGATCGCTTCCATATCTTGCATTGTTATGGTGTTTGTGAGTTGTGTCGCCTTGAAGATGACTTCACGGCACATTTACGCAGCGTCGCTCCGCCCGCCGAACAGCCGATCGCCCCGCCTACACTGCATGGTTACTATAGTTACTACCCCCGTTACTAACTGTAATGAAAACGCAGCTTAAAGGGAGCCGAGCCAGGCCAAACCGAGTCAGGCCGTACTAAAACCTGCAGTTGAAAAAGCGCCATTACACTTGACTTGATTCAAGGGACAAGAGATTGTTTCAGCAAATTCTAAATGTACTTTCTGTATTACTATACCATTTATTATATTATTCACAGCAATCACTGAACATTTTTCTCTTGTTCATTGTTCTTTATACCCCATTTACACGGGAACGTTTGCGTTTTCAAAAAAGTCTTCCGATCACACGCATTCGGCTCAATTAACTTGTCCGTTCACACGAGACCGCTGGAAATGCTGTATGCCGGGCCTGTATGGAGCTATTTCAGGGTCATAAGTTTTGATCATTCGAAAAAATACAATTTATTTGAAAGTCCAAGTTTTCATCCTGAACTTTGAAAAATACAATGTTGTATTAAAAAAAAAGAAAAGTATTTGAAATAATTTTTCAGGTTGAATATTACAGTATTTTGATTCAGTTCAGCAATTTTTTGGAATAAAATATTTATTTTCATATTTCACTTTTATACATATTTCGATATTTGAATACTTATTTTTTTCAGTTTCAGATTTTACGTTTTCAGATTCAAAACAATTATTTTTTCAGTTTCAAATCTTTTTTTTTCAGGTTTCAATTATTTTTTCACCTTCAAATCGTTTTTCGCTTTCAGATCTTTTTTTTTCGCTTTCAGACTTTTGGCCCTGATATTGCTTCGGGGGGCGGGGCTTACCAAAGAGTAGTTTGTCACCCTGAGTAACAGCCCTCCCTCTGTCATGATGCCTTCATGGATGTTAGGTAGCGCAAGAAATATAACTACACACTTTCTATACACAATACTCCCGTGATTGGTGGTAAACAAAACTGATACCAGCGTCAAAGTTCCGTTAAGCGAGCTGTTGAGCATCGTAGTTGGCAAAAATGGCGGTATAAGAGCAATAAACTGTGCTAGAATGTGAAATTACGTATCCGCAATGAAGCGTTGTCCTTCCCCACTTCCACGTAGCTCCGTGAACGCAGCATAGTATTGGCTGGGCTTTTGCGATGGCGTCAGGTCCACCTGCTGGCTCCATGGCTGGCACCAGCGCACAGGTAAGAAATATTAACTTTTTTCCATTCATGGTCTTAGAAGTTATCTAAGAGCATGATAATAATATTATAGCGACATACATAAAAGGAAGGCAGGCCTTTTGAGGTGGGGAATGAATGTGGCAACGCGGGAAACTAACCATGGCATTGAGGCTACTCGTGTATGCTATTAGCTATTGTCAGTGCAAGTGAATTTCCCTTATGTTGATAGAGTCCAGCTCACGTGTTTCTCAATCTGTCTTTGCCAGAGTGGCGACCGTAATTCATCTGTGGCTGCAGCAGCACACACTTTAATAACCATGCTCACACAGCACCTAAGCCAGGGACAGCTGGAAGGAAGGAAGGAGGACCAGACACTGCCTGGTCCTTCTGTAGAGCAGGAGATGGCCAGGTTTTAGATTTTAATAAATATATATTTGTGTTTATCTACAGGTAAACTGCAAGTTGATATGTCCATTTATGATTATGTGCTAAACAACATTACTTTTTTGTTTAAATAATGCAGATCTTTCCCTGGATTCTTTGTGAAAAAATCGAATCGAAATTGCCTTGGGAAGAGAAAGCTTCCAGCTCTCAAGACCTTTGCAACTGAAGCGAAGAAAAACTGGAGACCCTTTACATTTTATGTTTACCTGTTAAACTTGAATGCAGACAGTACCCCAACCGCATCGGAAGAATTTGCGCTTGCCCAGGTGGGACTGGGCAAAAGACATATATCGATGCCCCTGGACATGAGCCATGAAGAGGTATTGTATAAAGAAAACCATATTTATATAACCTGTGTTCATATTTGAAACTTGGGACTTATTTGTAGAGTTGGTTTGGTTTCAAGAACACCCTATTTTATTGTTTCCTTAGTTCTTCAGTCTCCTGAAAAAGGAATATCCAAAGTTGCAGGCGCTGGATGGAGGATGGCTCCTCTACAAATCAACAGGTGCAAAAAATGTGTCAAATAACATTCATTGTAATACATTTTCATTTAAATATTTAGCTAAAAGCAACTGAAATGATTCAAACAATGTAAATTACAGGAGGTCAGGGTAAACGAAAACTTATAATGATTCCGCCTGACTCGGACGGATACACCGGCACACTCCTCCGCAGTGTCACAGGGGCAGGGAAGAACACCCTGTATATTGTCCCTCTGCAGCATGAATTCGACTTAACACCTTTGCCCGCGGATGCTGTAGAGTTCCAGAATATGCCAAAAGCCCAATGCCAAACATGCAAGTTGCATTTTCCTCTGCAAATTTTGGCTCTGCATGTCCAGGAGTGTCTATCATCGGAAGAAGACATTGAGGTAAATGTGGGCATGAAATATATGTAATGTTGCATTTTAATAGTTGCTTTAAATATTTTTTTATTCAGTGAGTTATAACATGTGTTGGTAATATTTTGTGAGGTGGAAATTGTTTCGGTCGTGCACCCTGTGCAAAACCATACAGAGAAATCTCTTGAAGAGGTAAAGGACTTAATTGTATTGTATTGCATTGCACTGTAAAATTGCCTATATAAACTTGATACAGCTGCTAATATTTAAACTTTTACCTCCATCAGAAGGTGCCATGTCCCATCTGCTTCGAGAGCTTCACACCACAGTTTTTAGAAATACATGCAAGCATGTGTGGAGAAAGGTATTTTAGAGCGAGTACATTAAGGTTCATTTTACATGTTTTATATTAACGATATACATCTCCTTTGTACTTTGTTAGAGATCAACATGTCCGTCTGGATGAGAAAACTGACATGGGCCACAACGATGGAAAGGCAATGGATAGGCAATTCGAAAGGTAAATACTGGGTTCTTCATTCTGCTTGGATCTTCATTCTAAAAAAGCTCTTTATTCAATATCAGTAGTTTACGCCTGTTAATTATGAGTTTTGTTTGGCAGTGTTGATGACTTATTGGACACAATCTCTGGAAGAGTAGACGTAGAGAAACGTTTCAATATACAAATCTCACAAACAAACATTCTCGAAAGAGGCCTTCTACAGTGGCAGCGTCAAAAAGGCAGTTCACCCACAGCTACCCTGAACGTGACCTTCTTTGGGGAGGCAGGAGTCGACACAGGAGCCCTCCGAAAAGAATTTCTCACAGGTAAACAAAAACAACAATTTTTGCATTCTTACATTTGACTCTTAATTAAAATAGTCTAGATTTATGGATAATGTCTGTGAAACTTTGGTTGAAGGGCTGATTAACAAAGACTCATGACATTCTTTTTCTTTTAGTCTTTGTTATACTACTTATCCTTTTTTGTATTTAAACGGGGTTAGACATTAATAAAATACTTGTAAAATAGTATCCTGATTATTAAAGTAAATGGTCTTTGTACTTGTGTGTAGAAGTGGTGGCAGGAATTGAGGGTCGTTTCTTTGAAGGACCTCAACAGCAGCGGATCCCACGGTACTCTCTGAATGACTTAGACAGTGACCTCTACAGGTTTGTTTACTTTTAAGCATGTACAGTAAGGACCAACTGTTCATTTTTGATAAATGTTATATAACATAAAAAATGTATTCATGCTCAATCTGTGTTAATAGGACAGTGGGAGAGATTTTGGCTGTTAGTTTGGCACAAGGTGGCCCCGCCCCTGCCTTCTTCAGCCCATGGACTTACAGTTACCTCTGTAGTGGACGTATAAACCAGAAGGTTCTCAACAGTGATTCAGTGGCAGATGTCCAGCTGAGAGAGTTAATTGACCAGGTATGAGTTCTATATTATGTAAATGCTGGGTTAATAAGAAATAAGCATTTATTTTCCAATTATAGTCATAGGTTTATATTGAATATGGTAAAGAGATGTACTTCTCGGTTTTCAGGTTGAGTCGGCGACTGAGCATTCAATTATAGGCCTATCTGATGAAATATTGAATTGTGGATATACTGGAAATGTCTCCATTCCAAACAAGGACACTATTGTTCGGTATGCTTGACACTTATTTATTTTTGTATATTAAAAGATGTTACATGAGTACCTTTTATTAAGGATTGCATTTACTTTGTAATTTTGTAGTTCCATCATACTCCACGCAGTGCTGCGGCTGCAGCCTATGTTGGAACAACTAAGGGAAGGCTTGCAGCTGTATGGACTCCTTTCACTGATGAGTCAGTACCCAGATATCTGCCAGCCCTTGTTTGTTTCTGGGGAAGATGTAAAAGTGAGCAGAACAAAAGAGACCATTCTTTACAATTTGATATTAAAGTTAAGGAGTAAAGAGTACATAATTTATATCTGGATTTGTTCTCATCATAGGTCAATGCAGAGTTTGTCATGACATCCATTCTTCCTCAACTGAGTGACAAAGGGACTACCAGGCATCAGGTTGAGCTGGAGATGATGAACTTCATTCAGGACTTCCTATATGAAGGTATAACGTTTTTGATTTACTTCTAATGAAGATTTAAATGTAAGTTGTTTTAAATTACAAAAGTTGGGTTTTTAAATTTGAAGGCATTGGGCTTGGAAAAACATTAAAATGTCCTTGAATTTAATGTTTAAGATGTTGTAGGAATCCTGAATTACACAAACTTGATTACCTTTTTTGGATCAGACGTTCTGTGGTTAAAATACCTCAGTACAATTCACTTGCACTAAAGGAAAACTACACTTTAAACTGTCATAACGGTTTTTGTTTATTTTCCTCATAGCTGAAGATCATGGGCATGTAGATAAAGATGGCCTACATTACAGGCCATCACACCTGCAACGTTTCTGCAGTGGATCACAGGCCAGGGTCACGTCCCACTTCTTCCCTCAGAGAAGAAGGACTTTGCAGTTGTGATCCAATTCAATCATGACTGCAGTGCAGACTTTGGGCATCACAGTGTCTGTTACCCTGTTGTGACAGCATGTGCCAAGACAATCACCTTACCTGTGAGACATATGAGGCCCTATGAAAAATTCAAAAACATCCTGACTGAAGCGTTTCAATTAGGCCAAGAATTTAGCAATGTGTAATAAGGTAACCATTAACGACCTCTGTTCCAAGTTAACCTTACTGTTTAAGTGTTAAAGGTTTAGCATTGACTGCTTCCAGTCAAGTAATCTTAAAAAAAAATGTAATGGCAGCAATAGAGTGGTGCAGTGATGACGTGTTTTTGTAGGCTGACCCGGAAGTAAGCTGCAAGGGTTCCCTCAACAAAAAAGCAGTGGGATTTCTCCATACTGTAGGATATCCCATTGCTTTTTGTCGAGGGAACCCTTGCAGCTTACTTCCGGGTCGAACTACACAAATACGTCATCACTGCACCACTCGGTTAAACATTTCTTAAAGAAAAACAAACAAATTGATATAATGTTGTAACATGTTGCTACCCAGAACTGTGATATGGAAAATGTTAAGGGTGTAAAGGTGTTGATGTCTAAATGGTTAAACCCTTGAAACATGTTTGCATTTAGGATGCATGATTTAGTACATGGTTCAATACAGCTAAATAAATGTCTCGGCCGTAGGACCCAGATGGTCTTGTAACATCAATATTGGCCAAAAGTCCTGCCATATCCTGCTCACTGAGGGGACTTTCAACAGGTGGAAGAATCACTCCAGAACTGGTCTCATCTGGCTCACTGGCAGTGTTGAAATCAAGATCTGCATCCTCCATTTCCTTGATAAAAATTAAATATCAGTCATGGATTTTAGGGGACCAAGAATAACTTTAAGCACCACAAACACTAGAGAATGTAAAGAATAAAAACGAAACACTTTTTTGCCTTTTCAACGGTACACCTATCAAAAGAGGTGATTTTGAGGTCTTACAAAATGCATTTCAAGTGCAGTCTCATGCTTTGCATTTTACATTAGTAAAGCAAGTTTTATGCAATTTTAAAGAAAAATATCTATCTTTCATTTATTTGATGCTAGTGATTGTAAATTCCATTGAAACATGACAAATATAATTTTTACCTAGCCCAAAGGTTCAATACTAATGTAATGAACAGCGAAGTGCCAATGCCAATTTCTTTCATAATATAAGTTTAATGGAGTTCCTTTAATTTTGTTAAGCTGTTTTAAGCACAATACTTTGGTCTAATATATTTTAGTTGAAATAGTTTGAGAACACTGGCCAAAATTATGTTGATACAATTTTGCTTGAAATAAACATGTAATGAGTACCTCTGCAAGGTCTGGAACATCAATAGGATTATGGAGGAGTCCCATTGTCCACAGTTGGTGTGGGGACAAATTTCGCTCTGTCCTTCGAGGGTGGTTATCCCAACCCATCCTGAAGACATTGAGATCCCTCTGAAGACGCGGAAGAAATACATGCTGGGCACAGGACAGGTGGATGCTATCAGAAGGATCTAGAACACCCTCATCCTCGAGGCTGTGAAGAACCTCGTAGTGCACGTTTGAAACAGCCATCCAAACATCTCGCCACAAACGTTCGATTCTGTTAAAATAAAAATCATCAAATTACACTCAAATTGGACAAAGCACAGTATATTCACAAATTATGGCTTTGTGTTTGTCATTGTTTGACATTACTTCAAAAAATGTACCTTTTGATTGTGCACACTTTTCCCTGACACAGCCCCTTATAGTGAACATGCATCGCGCTATGCCAACATTTTCAACTCCTTGGTCGGCTCTTACTCTTAAAAAGATGAATCACACACATGAAATAAAACATTACAAAAAGTTATGACATGGTATTTTTAAGATTTCTTAATGTAGAAGAAAATAGGCAAGTTATTTTTATTATTATCGTTTTTTAAAGACAGGTCAAAAATGAATATGTAATGGTATAATGCAAATAATCCTAAACATGGTTTGTTTGGAGAGACAGAAGGTGACTTAGTCATCAAGTATTCTATACGATATATTTTATCATCAATAGGGCTTTGGACAGATTGAGGTTGGTTTCACTCAGATTTATTTCGAGAGTCGTACTTACTTCCTGACTCGGTTGTGAATAATTCTCGGGTCATTTCAGTGATCAAAACATTGATCATTGTAAGTGTTATACAAACCATTATGCGTCTTTTAATGACAGATAAGGCCCAAATTAGAGTACCACAGGGAGCCACACCTAATGTTGGCCTTACCTTAATGGAAAGCCATACTTTTGCACACCCTCCAAGAAGAAGTCAAGTGAAGTCGATGCTTTATTATTAGTGGCAGCACCCAGGTACATGATCTGCAGCAGAGAAAATTATTAAGCAGAATAAATAAAAGCAGATCTCTAAATGTGTTTAAAAACCAACACCAGACATTCTTGCTACAAGGTTTAAGATGGATACAAACTAAAAATATAGATACTTTGAAAGGAACTGTAAATCATGCAGCAGGTTTAGTTATTGACCAATAACTGTCATTATCTGACTTATAAATAATCGTTATTTGTGAAAACAAAATTACCTTCCGTGAGAAGCCATCAATCCCTCCAAAAATAACAAGACCATATCTTAGAAAAACAACACAAAATCACTTTTAGTGTGTTATTTCTTATGCAAACAACTGTGACAGGGCATTTTAAAACATAACCTTTTTAATTTGTACTCTATTATCCTTTATTGTACATAGCATGTAAACATCAAATGTGTGGCGTACCTGATGAGTTTATGATTTGTGTCGATGTGTACCAAGTGCAGAGGACCCTGAACAGAATATGTCCTTCTTGCAACACACCCCATCCTTGCCATTCTTGTGAGTACACCCACAGAATCAACACGATGCATTGATGAAGACACTCTCTTCCATTGCACACGGTGACCCATGGCCTTCAGGATTCCTTTTATCATTCGATATCCTACATGTGGTGTCCTGGCCTTAACTGACCGAACCAAATTGTCTAGTTCATCATCAGTTAGGGTACTGTAGGACTGTTTTATGGAAAGGCCATTTTCATGCATGCGCCTTTTGACTGTCTTCTCAGATACACCCAGAAGTGTTGCTATGGCCGACACTGGTAGGGACAAGTCTTCTATTAAGCCTTGTAGTTGCTGAGGACAGGCAACATATTTTGGTCGTCCCATTTCTCCTTGCATTACTGGCACCTGATGAGGGGTCTGATTAGAGATGTCTTCAATATTGACAAGCCTTGACAGCTCAGTCAAAGCATTGATGACATCCTGTGGCATATCAACCTGGCCTGATAGCGACCTAAAAAGAGCCATCTCCTGGTCCACTGCAAACTGCAAATAGTCAACATCTAACGGCAGTCTTTGCGTGATCTGGGAAATTCTATTCAGTAGTCTCTGAAGAAAGTCCCTTTTCAGTTGCTCCTAGAAAAGACAAACATCAATTTACCATATTGCACTGGATTAGTTCATGTTCAAATAATAAACAGCATTAAATATCGTTAAGGACATGTGCAAAGAAAATGACTGCAACAATTATGCTTTGTAAACAAACTCTATAAAATAGGTGATAAAATCAAAACATAATGTAAGTTATTACCAATCATTTTTAAATAATCATTTAAAGAGAGGTGCTGTGTGAGCATGGTTATTAAAGTGTGTGCTGCTGCAGCCACAGATGAATTACGGTCGCCACTCTGGCAAAGACAGATTGAGAAACACGTGAGCTGGACTCTATCAACATAAGGGAAATTCACTTGCACTGACAATAGCTAATAGCATACACGAGTAGCCTCAATGCCATGGTTAGTTTCCCGCGTTGCCACATTCATTCCCCACCTCAAAAGGCCTGCCTTCCTTTTATGTATGTCGCTATAATATTATTATCATGCTCTTAGATAACTTCTAAGACCATGAATGGAAAAAAGTTAATATTTCTTACCTGTGCGCTGGTGCCAGCCATGGAGCCAGCAGGTGGACCTGACGCCATCGCAAAAGCCCAGCCAATACTATGCTGCGTTCACGGAGCTACGTGGAAGTGGGGAAGGACAACGCTTCATTGCGGATACGTAATTTCACATTCTAGCACAAAGTTTATTGCTCTTATACCGCAATTTTTGCCAACTACGATGCTCAACAGCTCGCTTAACGGAACTTTGACGCTGGTATCAGTTTTGTTTACCACCAATCACGGGAGTATTGTGTATAGAAAGTGTGTAGTTATATTTCTTGCGCTAACATCCATGAAGGCATCATGACAGAGGGAGGGCTGTCACTCAGGGTGACAAACTACTCTTTGGTAAGCCCCGCCCCCCGAAGCAATATCAGGGCCAAAAGTCTGAAAGCGAAAAAAAAAGATCTGAAAGCGAAAAAACGATTTGAAGGCGAAAAAATAATTGAAACCTGAAAAAAAACAGATTTGAAACTGAAAACGTAAAATCTGAAACTGAAAAAAAGAAGTATTCAAATATCAAAATATGTATAAAAGTGAAATATGAAAATACATATGTTATTCAAAAAAATTGCTGAACTGAATCAAAATAATATTCAACCTGAAAAATTATTTCAAATACTTTTTTTTTTTTTAATACAACATTGTATTTTTCAAAGTTCAGGATGAAAACTTGGACTTTCAAATAAATTGTATTTTTTCGAATGATCAAAACTTATGACCCTGAAATAGCTCCATAGGCCTGTAAGTGGCGCTGCTGCCGCCACAAAATACACCAAAAGCAGCGAAGAAGACCCCGGAGCATGGTTGCCATGGTTGCCCTTCTGTTTATTCTTCGCGGTGGACGGCGTGTGCTCCTGCTGTAAATCTCTCCGGCAGTCCACCAGCAGATGAAAAACACCCACCTCTCCGCCTCTTCCAAGGGACGAGGGAACCATGCGGCAGAGTTTCTGTTAACATTTTTTTCGCCGATCAACATGTCCGTTAAAGTTGAAATCTTACGGACAAAATTAGAAAAGTGCCGGTCAGAGGTCTTCTTTGTTATTTATTGAGCTTTTAAAACAAATTGATAACGACTCTATATAATAATATAAGAATAATAAACGGAGCCTCTCTTTTCCTCCCCCTCTTCTGACAGCCCAGCAGCTGATCTCTGAGCAGGAGACGTGGGGAGAGGGGAGGCGGGGCTATTTCATCGTTATCAGGAAATGATCGTATAGAGGCTTTCACACGGAGCGGTTTGCCCCCCCAGAGCGTTCCGTTTGCAGATCTATCCACCTTGGGACCCGTTATCGTTTGCGGGGTCCGTTTCTATCGTTTTGTTACGGCCTCGTGTAAACGAAAGGGCT